TAAAGGCTACCTGGGGGAATCACTTTGCCGCTTCTTGAGGGCTTCCAAATGGCAGATGGAAGTGGCTTGCTTGGTGTGTATATATTGCTTGCTGTTTAGAATAAAATCTTTAATCTTCTCACTCCCTTGTGTTTTGTAGCACTTCTGAATCTCATTTTAAAAGAACCGCCTTGCATTTGGCAAGACAGTAAGCCAAGCTGAGATAGAATCCAGACTTCGAAACCACTGCTCTTCTGTTGCGTACAGCGAATCTCTTGGCTCAGCTAACTTTGCCAGCCCTTCTATATGCTCCAACCCTTCCCATTACAGTCACCACGCCTTCCTGTTCCTGGGTCATCTTCCTGAAAGCAACAAAGCCCCTTATTGGATGTGCAACTTACAGATCCCTAAGAAATAGAGACAGTTTATTCTACATCAGTAGTATGTCCCTGTTTTCTGAGGAATGCTGGATATGTGTTTATCCTCCCTGCTCCTCTTCCATTCCTATTCATGCATTCTTAGTAAGGATCCAAGTGCCTTGCGAAGCATATCTGTTATTTTCCTGACAGCCTGGGAATTGGCAGACCTATCAGCTGTTCAGGTTGAGACCCGGATATGCTGCAGTCCCTCAGAAAAGCTACTCATAGCCATTCAAAGGTATTTAAAGTGCGTGCAGCACAATGGAACATAATTATTACTGTCAACTGGTGCAGTATGTGGAAAAGACCATTGGCACCTTTGTATTGTCTACAAAGTCACGTCAGCTTTTCTGCGGCTGAGAACCCTAGCGTAGACTGGGGGGCAGCTTTTGATGGCAGCTTTTATTCCCTCCCCACCCCCAGTTTCCACCACTAAATCTGAAGCTGTCACCTTGATAAACATCCCCACCGGATCCCTGACAAAGCCAACCAGTTAAGTACGTCTAATCTTCTGCTCCACTTTATTGAAGACAGGCGTGGCAGTCAAACGATGGCATCACTCTTCCAAATGATTACTTGGACATGGGTTATGATGTCTCTAGACAGCTTTTCTAGTGGCCTCAGAGATGTGGCCTGAGGGGCTCTCAGGGAGTGGGAAATAGGGTGTGTTTTGCACAGGGTGCACCTGCTGAGGAAGCTCAAAGAATTCCAGTATTGCTTTGGCTTCCTCTGTCACCCATGTTTGCAGACCCTCCAAGTGTCCCTATTTTCCAGGGACTGTCCAGGATTTACAGAAGCTGTCCCCGTTTCTGATTTGATCCCAGAATGGCCTGATTTTCTTAGGATGCCCGATTTTCATCAGAGAAACGTTGGAGGGTATGGAGTTATGCAACACACACCGAGCCTAGGAAATAAGTAACTCTACAGCCTTTAGAAGACATCTGAAGGCAGCCCTGCATAGAGAAGTTTTAAAATGTTTATTGTTTTATTATGTTTTTATATGTGTTGGAAGCCACCCAGAGTGGCTGGGGCAACCCAATCAGATGGGCAGGGCATAAATATTATTATTATTATCATTATTAAATAGGAGAAATGTTGGCAGGTACGTGTCTGCCATGGTTCATGACTGAAAACGGGAGCCCTCCCTCCCTAATGTTAGGTCCTTATCCTTTGACCTTGCTATGGACTTTGGTTGGTCGCCTTGGTTGTCCAGGGGGCCTGGTAGGATTTTTTTCCACTTGGCAAATTGGCACCAGCCACTTGGTTTTTGGCCTACCTCGTAGCAAATCGTCACAACTTTGTAAGGTTTGGCGGTTAGGCATTGGAGTATTCAGCTGGAGGTGAGGGGAGGTGGCTGCCATCCCCTACCCTTCCTATTTCAAGGGTATTCCGTTAAAGGAATCCGGGGAGGGGTGTCCTATGTCCAAAACCCAGACGGGGGCCAGGGCGATAGCACGACCCCATCGGTGACCCAACTAGGGGGAATTCCTAGTTGATGTGCATCAACAGGGCTCCCCCTATTGGTGGTTAACCCTTACTAGACTGCCGGCAGACGGGCAGGAGTCAAATATAGTCATTGGTTCCAATGCCTAAGCCAATACCACTCACATTCTGTAATCAATAAAGTTGTGGTCTTTTTCAGCCCATTAACCTAAATTCTGGTGTCAAGTGTCTTTATTCTACAATGGGGGAGGGTTCAGGACCTTGCCACGCAAACACATGCTCAAGTTGTCCATACATTACAGATCTGCCATGGCAGCCCTCCATAGGGTCTGTGTGCCAAGCACACTGCAAAGAGCCTTCCTTTGCTAATGCTATTCCATTATTAAAGGACCCCAGTTCAGAAGGCTCAGTGCAGGAAATCCTAATCTTAGATAATGCGCCCTGAAGGAGATTTAAGACCCAAGGCCAAATGCCTCTTCGTTTCCTCATTTGACCACAACAAATCAGAGCAGAGGTGAGAGATAGGATGTGAAATTTGACCGCTGCTTCCTGTGCTTACCCTTTCAGACTTGCTTTCTTAAGAAACACATGGAGAAACAGAAAAGGCATAAAAATGCGTTCCTGATGCTTTCTACAAAATAAATGCTTGCGTGCGTATTTTAACTGCATTCCCACATCATCACCAAATTGGCAGGGTGCAGGGAGAGAAAATGACCCCAGAGAGACAAGGGCTGGACAGAGGGAAATATATTTTTCCCCCACCAGCCTCATCACCAAATTATAGCCATATGCTTTCCCCTATTGTTAGTCTCTTTTGCTGGTATGATGCGGAGGGGATTTTATACAGTGGTGCAAAATGTAATCCCCTGCTGGAGACAGAAGTGCCATAATCCCAGAGGGACCCTAATGTTCAAAACAAAACATAACAATGGAGTTAATTAGCACTGCGTGGTTCACAAAATCCCCTGGGGAGGGGGATTCTTTGCAGCTCTAAATCATCAGTTCTGCAAGACATGGAAATGGTCCCGCGGGGAAAGACCCCTTTCACAAACCTCTAATAGATATTAGCAACATTTCCCTCCATCTTCCTCCATTGGCTTTGGGAAATCTACCCGCTGGGCCAGAATAACCCACCTGCATGGGAATCATTTTGAAATATCCTCCGGCTCCACTGCAGGATGAATTAACCTCTGGGTAGACATCCTAACATTGCCTCTTTGCCACTGGCATTGAAGCTAATCTGCCATTCCTTATTGCTGTCTCAGTAGTTCCCGCCTCCCAGCCCCTCAACAGCTACTCCGCTTCAGGAGATTCCTACACTGAGTGTTCCAGTCTGCATGGGACTGCCTATTAATAAGTCAGATGCCTTTTCAGCCTATGCAGTGGTACCGTGGTTCCTAAACGCCAAAAACCCGGAAGTAAGTGTTCTGGTTTTTGAACGTTTTTCGGAAGCCAAACATCCGATGCAGCTGTCGGCTATTGTTTCTGGGGCGCCTGCACTGATCAGAAGCTGTGCCTTGGTTTTCAAACATTTCAGAAGTCAAACAGACTTCTGGAACAGATTAAGTTTGGAGCTTTTGTTTTTGCTATTTATTTTGCATTTTTGTTTTTAAGGCCTTTTCGGTTAATTTGTTTTTATGACTGTGTGGAATCCAGTTCAGCTATTGACTGATTGATTGTGTGACTGTGGAAATGGATAAAAGCCCCCCATCCAAACAATGACTATCATCAGTGCAGGTAAGATTTTTTTTTTCCTTTCAATTTTCATCATCTACAATACTGTCTTATTTATTTTATAGTACAGTACATTAATTATTGCTTTCAGTTTGTGGATCAATGGTCTCGTTAGATAGTAAAATCCATGTTGATTTGCTGTTTTAGGGGTTGTTTTTAAAAGTCTGGAACATATTAATCCGTTTTGCATTACTTTCTATGGGAAAGCGCACCTTGGTTTTGGAACGCTTTGGTATTGGAACGGACTTCCGGAACGGATTAAGTTTGAGAACCAAGGTACCACTGAAACTGTCTACTGTAACTGCTGGCAGCCACTGTCAAGGGTCTGAGTCCGAGGTCCTTCTTCTTAGCTGCTACCTGATCCTTTAAACTGGTTATGCCCAGGTTTGTATCTGTGATTTTCTGCATGCAAGCCATGTCCTCTATCTACCCCAAGCAATGGCTTCTCCCATAGGCCAGCTATATGGTTCTCCCTACAAGCACAGGAATCAATGGGGTGTTGCTTCTGGTGGGGGACACATCATGCTCCTTCTGCTGCAATTTCTTCACCTTTGGTCCCCACCTTGCACTAAGTTCTCACCTGTCTGCATGTTACAGCAGCCACACCCTGGGAAACAGCTTCAAACGACTGGCTAAACCGATGAGTCTCAAATTCTGATCCTAAACCTTTGCTGCCTTGCAGGATAGGGAGAAGAAGAAGAAGAAGAAGAAGAAGAAGAAGAAGAAGAAGAAGAGGAGTTTGGATTTGATATCCCGCCTTTCACTCCCTTTTTTAAGGAGTCTCAAAGCGGCTAACATTCTCCTTTCCCTTCCTCCCCCACAACAAACACTCTGTGGGGTGAGTGGGGCTGAGAGACTTCAGAGAAGTGTGACTGGCCCAAGGTCACCCAGCAGCTGCATGTGGAGGAGCGGAGACGTGAACCCGGTTCCCCAGATTACGAGACTACCGCTCTTAACCACTACACCACACTGGCTCTGTGTGAAAGAAAAGGCAGCTCTGTTGGCATCAATTGGGCGGGGGTTTTCCTTGCAATGCAAATTCTAACTTTAGAAGAGGGATTATCCTCAGGCCCAGAGAAGGGAAAGGAAGCCTTAAACTGCCCTCCATAGCAGTTGCAATCCTAATAATTAATTTGCACATAGCTGTAGATGCAAGAAGATGCCTTCTTGCCTAGGAAGAGCTGGACTAGGCTGTCTCTGATTGCTTCCCCCCCCCCTTCCCTTCCTACAGTTTTTGGCATTGGACTATGAACAATCCCTCTGTTATCCTCACTTAGATGATGGATGGCATCACAGGTAAGAACTTTTAAAATAACCACTTAGCAGTTGGAATCATCTAGTTGTGTTGTCATTAAGCATGCAAACAAAAACAAAAAAACTGGCATGTTTACTGCAAACTCTCACTAGCCATGTCTGATACCCTATTCTCTCTCTCTCTCTCTCTCTCTCTCTCACACACACACACACACACACAGAGAGAGAGAGAGAGAGAGAGAGAGAGAGAGAGAGAGAGTTGTTGTGGAAGATTTCACATCTGACAATTCCCTTACTATTTCTACTTAACTACATTCTGATTTGAAAGGGGCAGGGGGTTGCCTGCACACTCCAACAAATGCTTTTGGTGACAAATCAGTTTCTTTCCTTTTAAACAGAGCAACAATTCCCTTCTCTTTAAAAGAGGGTATCAATAGCAGCTAACTTAGTTACAGCTCTGGAATGTCAGATGTTTACTAAATCAGGCAGTGGAGGTAAAAAAAACACACACAAAAAACCCCACGGTTGGCAGGCTCCTACAAATCTCTTTGAATTTTAGTAGTGACTACCAGAGTAAATAGTATAGATACAAAAGGATCTCTGAATCTCGCACACACATGTACAAATGAACTGCAACTGTCTTGGATGTGAGTCCTGGAAGGCCTGCTCCCTGCCTTGCAGGCCTTTCCCCACGTGGCTTGGGTGAGCAGGGCTCTGACTGACTCCAGCTACAAAAGCTGAGGCTGCTGAACAGACTCTTGGGTTGGCAGGGGTGCTGTTGTTGCTGTTGGTTTTTTGTTTCTTTATTTTATATCATGTGGTTTATGTGGCAATTGCTCAGCTTGGTTGTTTTATTTGTATTTTTTGATGTTTTATTTATTGTTTACGACTACTTTTGTTATGGGACGCGGGTGGTGCTGTGGGTTAAACCACTGAGCCTAGGGCTTGCCGATCAGAAGGTCGGCGGTTCGAATCCCCGCAACGGGGTGAGCTTCCGTTGCTCGGTTCCTGCTCCTGCCAGCCTAGCAGTTCGAAAGCATGAAGTGCAAGTAGATAAATACAGTAGGTACCACTCCAGTGGGAAGGTAAACAGCGTTTCCTTGCGCTGCTCTGGTTCACCAGAAGCGGCTTAGTCATGCTGGCCACATGACCTGAAGCTGTACGCTGGCTCCCTCAGCAAGTAAAGTGAGATGAGCGCCGCAACCCCAGAGTCGTCCGTGACTGGATCCTAATGGTCAGGGGTCCCTTTACCTTTACTTTTGTTATATTGCAGTTGTTATAATTTTTCATGTCATAAGCTGCCTTGAGCATGATTTGAACCGTGGAAATAAAATTATGTATGTACGTAACCTGAATGCCTGAATTGGGCCTTGGTAGATAAACATGCATAGAACTACCATTATACCAGAATCTAATCATTTAAAGTGCACGCACACATGCAGAAAGAGTGAAATATACATAATCAACACTTTAACAGTGCCATCCTTGGATGTCTACTGAGAAGTAAGTTCCATTGGTTTAAATGAGGATTAAGTCTTAGAGCAGCGGTTCCCAATTGGTGGTCTGTGGACCCAGATGGTGTGCGTGGCCCAGCCAGGGGTCCGTGGCACCGTTCACCTAACAAAACTACCACAGAGACATGGGCATAGCCAAAGGGCAGCAGGGAGGGGCAGCTGCCACCCCACCCCCAAACAATAAAAATCAACAGCAAACTGAGGTTCTACCCCCCCCAACAAAAGACCTGCCCCCCCAAATGAAAATCCTGGCTACGTCCATGCATAGAGATATCAAAATATTCAAAAATCGGGGGTCAGTGGCTTGGCTTTTGAAAACCAGGGATCTGCAGTACTTAGCTAATTGGGCACCATTGTCTTAGAGCATTGCAGCCTTCCAGCAGCTATCTCAACATTTTTCTAATGCAATCAGGAGCTGTCCAGATTAATGTTAACATCTCTCTGGGGCTGTCTGTCCGAAACACTGACCCAGAGTATCTTTCCTTGTTCTCCAGAGCCTTCAGAATGTTCAGCACGTTTTCTTCTCTGAATCAAGGAATGTTTTCTGAATGCAATGCTTTCCATGCACAAAATGCACCCTGGTTCATGCACATCACTCTTAGTGTACATTGGACCTCTTTGGAAACATTGTATTGAAGCCAATGGTTTTAAAAGTAGGAAAGAAAGTAGCCTACTACTGGGTGAAAATAATTGTATACAGTGGTACCTCAGGTTAAGAACTTAATTCGTTCTGGAGGTCTGTTCTTAACCTGAAACTGTTCTTAACCTGAAGCACCACTTTAGCTAATGGGGCCTCCCGCTGCTGCCATGCCACCGGAGCACGATTTCTATTCTCATCCTGAAGCAAAGTTCTTAACCCGAGGTACTATTTCTGGGTTAGTGGAGTCTGTAACCCAAAGCGTATGTAACCTGAAGAGTGTGTAACCTGAGGTACCACTGTAGATGCAAGCCAGGAAAGTGCCTGGCCCTGCAGGGTCCCCCCTCCCCCAAGGGAGTATCCTGATACATTCATACCTTGGAAGTCAAACGGAATCAGTTTTGGAAGTCCGTTCGACTTCCAAAACATTTGGAAACCAAAGTGTGGCTTCTGATGGGCTGCAGGAAGCTCCTGAAGCCAATCAGAAGCCGCGGAAACCCCCTCAGACGTTCGGCTTTCAAAAATAGTTTGCAAACCAGAACACTCACTTCTGGGTTTGCGGCGTTTGGGAGCCAAAACATTCGAGAACTAAGGCTGTTCGAAAACCAAGGTACAACAGTACAAATTTTATTTTATTAGTATTATTTTTTTATTGCAATATGAAATATGCACGTATTTTAAATGATGTTGTTGTTGTTGTTTAGTCGTTTAGTCGTGTCCGACTCTTCGTGACCCCATGGACCAGAGCATGCCTGGCACTTCTGTCTTCTGAGCTACACTCCTGCTTTGCCCTTCCCCAAACATCCAGGGAAACTGGTAACCATCCAAATGAGGCCTTAGATTGTCAATTGCTGATCTTTGATCATTCAATTAATTCCCAACCAGGCAACATATCCCCCCCCTTTTTTTTTTTTACTTTCTAGTAACCTTTGGCTTGCATTATCATCCGCTTTAATATACTGTCAGGCCCTGTTAAACTTGGCCTGCAGCAGCAGCTGGGGGGGGGGGACATTTGTAATCTAGGAATTTCACAGCTAAATCACTGGGAATCCTGGCAGGCCCCCAAGGCCTACTGTGTGGAGCGGCATTCATTTCCCTTGCAACTGGAGATGGAGGGCTGCTCTTGATGGAGGAAGAAAGAGTTTCCAGAACAAGGGAGGGAAAAATAAGCAGGTCGCTAGGTAGGATTTTCATCTCCATGGCAGGACAGTAATTTACTGCTCCTGCAGCTGCTGCTGATCCAGGGCTGGCTAGTTGCCAGCCTACTGTGTGCTCTCATTGTTCCGCAAGTGTTTGTCTTAGCAGACGGCTTAACCAGCCCCACCTTGCAATTAATAAATATGTGTCAACACTCCGTGCAAGCCTAATCATTATCATTACCCCAAAATTAGAGGGTTTGGTCTGTGCGCAGCCGCTGAGCTGGCAAAGGGCCCGATCCAGCTCGGGGAATCGCGGGAGGTGCTCAGCATCTCGTGGAAGCGGCCCACTCGGAAAGTCTTGAATTGCAAAGGAACGGCTGTTGCCAAGGGAGAAAACACGAAAATAAATAACGGCACTGCCAGCCTTCCCGTCTTGTGTAAACTGGCATCTCTGAACGGCAAGCTGGATTCCGCGAAGCTGCGATTTGTGGGTGTGCGCTGGAGAATAAATTGTGCTTTAGCCATTAAAAGAAATATTTTTGTGCGTGTGTATCCGCCCTCTAACAATTCCCCCTCCCTCTTCTATGGCCAATCTTTCTGCCTCCGTTCCGGTTTCCTCCTCAAATAGCATTGAGGAAGTTGAGCCAAATGTTGAAAGATTCTGACTGCAAGACCCTGGAAGGTGAACGCCAAGGTCAGTTGGGTCTGAGGCACAAGTCCAAAGAAACGAGTGCTCAGCCCAGAGCTGTCCCGAGGCATTTTGCTGCCTGAGGTGATGCAGCAAATGGCAGCCGCGCCCCTTAGTCAAAGTGTGCAGTAATCAAGGTGAGTCAAGTTATTTTGACACCTGTGGCAGAAATGCCACAAGCGCCTCTCCCCCTCCCTGGCAGTAAAAATGCATACCCTCCAACATTCCTCCAATAGGGACATTTCCTCAACTGACCCTCTTCCATTCTCCCCCCCCCCCCCGTAGAGCATTTCATATCCCAAAAAAGGACAAGTGCCGCCACAACCACACCAACGGTACACAACATACACACCCTCCATCGTCTTGGTAAAAAAACCAACCTTAATCCCGATTTTATTTTATTCTTTGGTAGCTTTACAAACAGAAAAGCAGACACCAATAAATAAATTTTGGAAAGGGGCAAGTTTAGACAAAGGCACACAAAATCAAGACTCCTTGTGTTTACAAAGCGCTAGTACTAGTAATTAACATTTACAAAAGCTGCTAAACTCTTCTAAGCCCAGTACAGATGTTAAAAAGCTAATACAATTACTCCCTGCAGACTCGTGATAGAGCAGACATGTCATAAAAGGAAAAAGGAATGGGAATGGAAGAGGAAAGCAAACACTGCAGCAGCTGTTCCTTCACCATTCAGTGAATGAGGGCAGCCTGGTCTCCCCTTTGCCATGCTGTTGTTCCTGGCCCTTGCTCCCCTGGCCAGTGAGGAAGGCCAGACAGAGTGTGTAAACTTTCAGCTCTGAAGTCATAGGATTGTGGGCAGGTGGAGGAGACTGTCCTTTCAAAGAGGGCTGGGGGGAAGCAGGCTCCCTGCAGCTGCCTTCCTTTATATACAGTACTGCAAGCTCAGCTCTTCTCCCCAAGGCAGTGAAAGAGAACTCTCCTCTGCTTGCCAAAGACCTTTTGGTGTCCTCAGTTCATTCACTACCCGTGCCTTTATTTATTAAAATCATTTCTGTCCTGCTATTAAATTACAAAGGCTTTCAGAACGGCTTGCATAAGATCAGTCAGGACAGCCTCCGCCTGCAGACCTGCCATGGCACAGGATGAAAAAGGGATGGGCAGGGAAGAGGAAAACTCAGGCTTTTAAGTTCAGTCTTATGCATTGATCCCCCTTCTGCTTTTGTAGTGGTAAGTAGTTCTATTTTGCTTGGATAATCAGAAAGGCCTTGGGTAAAGGTAAGGTAAAAAGGTAAAGGACCCCTGGATGGTTAAGT